GCGCCCTGCTCCCGCGCCGGGAGGGAGGAGGCCCGGGCTTCGGGGATCGGCTCTGCCCCAGCCCAGCCCCCAGCCCAGGCGCGCGGCTTTGGCGCACGTGAACTAGGAAATCAGGTCGCGCGCAGCGCTGCACTCCCTGCGAGCGGACAGCCTTTATGCCCAGCGCTCCTTGACCCCGGGATCTGAAGTTTGTCCTTGTAAATCTGAGTGACAACAGTGCCCACCTCAGAGGTAGCTGTGAAGATTAGAGTGGGAAAAGACAAGAGCCGGTGCCCAGCTGACTGTGCAGAACTTGCCGCAGACGGTTTAGACTAGGTCCAAGGGGTCCGCTCAGTATCTGCTGACACCTTTTACAGGACGGGCGGGAAACGCCTTTGTAATATAAAGAGTAGTTTAAAGAAGTTCAAAAACCTGTCCAACTGCAGACATAGATTAGTTAGGGGCCTTGATGTATTACACTGTGCTCACCCACACCCTACCTAGTGATGGAATTCAGCCTGCTCGCCCCTCACTCACAACTGGGTAATGTTCTGAGTAACCATGTGGGGTGCACAGAGTGTCCCTACACCTGCCAGAAGGCTCCCGATTGTATGGGAACATCCAGCGCTCCCACGGGTCTGCCTTCCAAATGGCATTTGTCTGAGTCCTCAACTTTCAAATTGAGGACTGGGTTTTGTGAATCCAAAGAGATCCGGAAGTGTGATGGGCTCAGCCTGCCTTCCTCCTGTTACCTAAGGAGATTTCATTCCTTAACTCTCCTTCCCTTTTCAATCGACTTAGTTCTCCTTAATGAAGCATTGAGGTTCGTCATCTTAGGATTCTTTACTGAGAGAGAACAGGTGATGAATTTGTACTTTTTACACTCACAGGTGTTTCCAATATAGACCTGGGGCATTGATGATCCAGATTCTTTGTACCACGTATCACTTCTGAAATGATGAGGGTGGGTTCCTAAGTGGCGGGAAAGAAGGGAACTTTATCTCCCCTAATACTGGGGACTGATCCCAGGGCCTTTGCATGAAGCTACATCCCAGCCTTTAAAAAATATTTTGGGGGAGGTTTTTCAAATGAGAAGGGGAACAAGAAATAAAGGGAGGGGGAAGGGAAAGAAAAGAGATTAAAAGAGAGAAAATCGAACAAAACACGGCAGTGAACTTTTCAAATGGGAAGGAAAACGAGTGGGAGCAGGGAGGAATAGAAAGAGGAGAAAAAAATGAAGATGTGTTAGGTGCACATACAAACTCCCTTATGTACTGCAAACACAGACTAATATAAAATTTTAAAAAGAAAAAATTTTTAAATTTTGAGGCAGGGTTTCATTCAGTTGCTGAGTTGCAACTGTGAATCCTCCTGCCTCAGCCTCCCGGTGACCTAGATTAGGAAATGGCTACTAAGATCAAAGATGCTTCCGAGCATCCCATGGAGGGCAGAGAACTGAGCCTAGGGACTCAGAGGAATTCATCATCGAGTTGTCCAAGTCAGAATCCCAGCCGATTCGTGGCCGCTTTCCTTCCACCTGCCCTACATGCAGCATCCGCCTCCGAGGGGGCTCCACGCTACACCGGCAGCAAGGGACGAGGCTGGCGGCGTCTGCTGTTCATCTCCATTGCCTTCGTCTGGAGCCTAGCTGTGATTACCCTGGATCGTCTCAGGAGTGGTCTACAGTGGTCTTGCTTCCAATCTTGACTCTTCTTCCTTCCTTGCCAATTCGTTTTTCAGTTTCCCCACGCAGCTTTCGTGAAAGGCTACATCAAGACGCCCTCCCCTGGACCTCGTTAATGATGGCCCTGCTGTCCCCCGGGGAATATTCAAACTCCTTAGCGCGGCTCGGCTCGCAGGCCTTTCGTGGTCTGGCTGCCCCGTCTCCAGTCTCCTTTCTCGCTGCCCCGCTTCCGAGCACACCCTTCCCATCCCGGCCCCCGCTCCTCTCCCTCCACACCCAGAGCTGCTGTGCGGACTGCAGCCCCCAGCTCCCTGCAGGTTCCCGCTCTTTGCTCTCTAGCCTGCTGCCCGTGCCGGTCCCTCTCCCACCCACCCCTCCTCCTCTACTCCTAAAGACGCATTAGGTTTCCTTTTAGGAGCTTCTGCTCGGAACCTGAACCTCCCGTGAGGTTTCCAGCTTACCCCCCGCGCCCCCGAGAGCTGCTGTGCTCTTGCATCCGCGATCCCATGTACTTGTTTACCTTCACCAGAGATGGCACGCAGCGTGCGCAGTTGGCTCAGCGCGTAACTGCGCAGTGAATTTAGGCGTGAACCAGTGATTCCCAGAACCCCTAAGCCCCCCGCCCCGTAGAGATAAAGAACAGAAAGACAACTTCTGTGAAGCACGTGACTCTCATCAGGCTGCCTCCACTGTCTTTGTGTTTGATGATGGGGTGTGTGCCTAAAAAACCCAACATGTGTGCAGCGAATGCTTTTACCGCAGAAGTGCAGGCGCTGAGAGGCTGTGCAGTAGCTCGGCTGTCGCCATAGCAACCATGCTGCGGGAAAGGCTGATGGCCTGGCGTTCAGACATCTCTTAGGTCTGTACTTTTGGAACCCAAGCCCATTTTGCTGCTGTTCTAAAAGGCAAGTTTTACCATTGATAATATCTCTACCGCCTTTAATTCCATTCCAGCGTTTCTTATGTCATTAAGAGAAATGTCATATTGTGTTTGGATTGTACCATCCATGAGATATAATCTAATAAGCATAATATATCCGTCTATCTTCTGCTTTATAATATTCTGGCGCCTCATTTTCATTTTCTACTTAAATACTTATTTGATCATCTTCTTTGGTAATTTTGTGTTTTTTCCTTGAAAATGAATGTACTGCTGCTAGCTTTTAGAAAATACCAACTGCTTTAGAAAGATCGAACCCTTAAAAATTATAAATAATATAACTGTCCGGGTCTGACAAGAAACAGGAGAGTCAGGGGACGGTGATTTGGGACAGATGGGGGTGGGTGGATAAATATCTCTGTATCATTATGCCCCAATTCTGGGATAAGTAATGTAATCCTTTATGTGAGGTTTGTAATTAAATTATTCATAGTCTCATATGCCCAAAAGTTTAAATTTTCCATCACATATAAAATCTTCTTTGTGACTCATACAATCCCTGTGAGGTATGAGTGGCCAATCCCTGAAACCAGATGACTGATAGGATTTCACTGGCAGGGACCCCCAGACCACAAACTTCACAGAAAAGACAATACAAATGCAGTGCCAAAGAGAAAACAGTCGCCCCCCAACAACCACCTTACGGTCCTCCACATCCACTCTTCCTCCTCCTCACCTGAGTATGCTGGGGCTCCTGCGGACTCAGTCAGGCTGACAAAGCGCTGTCTCCTAATCCCGTCAGCTGTGTGTGAGCAAGCGCTGCCGTCTGTCTCAGTGACCTGATGTTGGGTGATCTGCTCAGCAACGAGGAGCAGCTGACGTGCTTTCCCACACGTCATAGAGAAAAGAAACTGCTGGGGCATCCGGGGATTTTTCTGTGGTGGGGTGGAGACCCATATTTTTCTTACCAGGGAGAGAGCTGCCTGTTTTCCTGTAAGAGCATGTGTGAGTGATCGACCCTCCTCTTACTGTATGTGTGCTATTGTTACAATATGGTCATGGTCTTTTCATGCTGTAAAACTGTAATGACTAGGATGACGCACGATCACTCCGTGAGAAGGGGGCCCAGAGAGTGCTTGGGGAAGAGAGGAGAAGAGGGTAAGCTGAGGCACGGTGGTGGCAACATTCCCTGGGTTTGATTGTGTAAACTACTGAGTTTTCAGCCAGAGCCCCCTCTCAGTGAAGAACAGAAAGCCTGGGACAGTCCAGAGAAAGAGCTGGAGGTAGGGTCTGGGGGCTCTGAAGGACAGTAAGGAGATAGGCTCTTGGCCTGCCCCTGAAACACGCTCTGAAGACAGTGACCTTTGGCCCATTTGTTACAAGAGTGTAAGATACCAGCGAAATACAGAGATTGAATTGAAGGGAACAGGGATGTGTAATGGGACAAGTAGGCATCTACTTGTTGGGATAGTGGATTGAATCATTGAAATTAAGATCTCCAGAAAGTATGAGGGTAAAGCTTGCCATCTGGGTAGGAGGTGGGGCCTTGACATTTACCTAATGAAAAGCTTTGGATGACTGGACAATGTGTTGTCTCACATTGTCTCAGATTTATGGAAAGGGCAAAGGAAGTTATCTGTGAAAAAGGCACAGAAGGCCAATTTCCAGAAGTTGAATTCCTGGCCTGAGGAGAAGCACCTTCCTTCCCTTAAAGGCCAGGAGTTGGGAGAAGGGCAGTCACAGCTACCCAGAGAGGAGATGAGGAGACTAGGCCAAGACTCTGTTCAGACATGGCAGGAGCAGACCTGAGAGGCTCTGAGAGACTCGTTTCCGTCCAATCCATGGCAGCGTAGGTCAAGAAAAGAAATGTATCATGTCTTCCCAGGAAACAGATCTACAGCTAGTTGTGAGTTACATTGAATAATATCACTCGTACCCATGATTTTGTATTTTTCCCTGTCGCTTTCTAGTGAACATCTTTCTAAAAATAATTCTGCCTTTTGGCTTCTCCTAAAAGATGGGGGGGGAAGGGGACAGATTTTGAGATTGCCGACTCAAAGGAGAGCATTACTGCAAAACAGAGCACAGCGCCCCTAGAGGCCAACTGTTATGATGGCAGCGGGGCGCCAGGGGTCTGTGGGGAGCAGGACCGGGTCTGCGGTAGAGCAGAGGACAGTGTGTGTGACTGCCCGTTATTTCCATCTAGCCATTCCTGCAAACCGTTTTCTTCTATCCCTGTAATCTTGTGACCTAGTGAGTAAAAGCTTTAGTTGTGTACTCATTTCTTGTCCAATCCATTAAAGAAAAATTTGCAGAAAATGAATGTAGAATTCCGGAATCTGACCTCTGTGGGTTCATCTATCCCTGTACCCTCTTCTGCTGTTTGACCGAAGAAAAAAAAATGCTTCTCAAAAGCGATTGCTTAATATTGCTTTCCAAGGTACTGAAACCACATCAATATTTTTGGAAAAGAAAAAAAGTACTTCTTATTTCATTGTCCTAACACAATGACCCAGGTCCCTTCGGTTAGCATTTCGTGTATTTGCTTTAGTGTTTGTTTATTGTGCCTCAAAAGAGCAGGGTTAAAATGAGAGTGAAATTCTAAGTGACATAGGGCATTTGGGACCGCCGATGCCCTCACATCTGGCTGTTTCGAGGACTGTGGTAGGCTGCATGCCAGCTGTCTGTGTGTCCTCAATTGGGCACAGCACTGAGATACAGGGCCTCCTTCTCCATGGGGATGAGCAGCAGGGGCTGCTGCTTGAAGCTTGGAAGCTGGTCGCTTCCTGGTGGGCCTCGTGCTGTCAGGGTTGGATGCTGGGGGGGAAACACCTGTGTCCCTTTCTGTCAAGATGCCCAGTTACTGGCTTGCCTTACTATGATAATTCGGGGACAGCAGGAGAGGGAAAATCTGCAGAGGTCTGTGATAAGAAAGTGAAGCTGAACAAAAGACATGGATCCCTGATTCCCACGGGCCTGGACTTGCATCCTTTTTTGTCTTTCTGACAGCACCACTTCAGGTAAGTTATTGAACCCCCGGAAGACTTGGCAGGTAGTAGGTGCAGGTTGGTTTGAAAAGGGAGGAGCCATTTGCTCCGGTTAATCATTTGGACAAATTAAATTCTCTGAGCTTCATTTTCACACCTATGACATGGACTTAATAGCAATAATTAGCTCATGATACTGTTATATGGATCAGCTAAATCTCCTATCTATGTCTGGCACATGGGTAGAGCACTTATAGATTGTTTTTTCAGCTTTAATCTAATTTATTTGTACAATCTAGGTATACAGTACAGTTACATTCATTACTGGGATCTTGTACCTTTACATGCCAGATCTTGGTTCTCATTTTACCCCTTGTCCCCACCCTCCCTTCACCCTCCCTACCCTCCCCCCTTCAAACACTTTAATTCCATTTTTACATTTTCTCACATTTTTTTCCTTTTCCCTTATTCCCCTTTCCCTATCCTTCTCAGTGTCCCTACACCTCTGGTCCTTTTCTTCCTATTTGCTAATAGTCCCATTAGGATCTTGAGTACCATTTTAGTTTTTCACACCAGAGATACTATTCGGTATTTGCATATGTGTGCCTTATTTATTTCACTTAGAAGTATATCCTCAAAATGTACCCAGTTGACTGAATGAATCTACTTTCTCATTCTTTATGGCTGAGTAGTATTCCATTTTATAGAAAACCATATCTTCTTTATCCAGTTTCCAATTGATGGGCAGATGGGCTGTTTCCAAGTTTTAAAAACTGTGCCGCTATAAACATGGGTGCGCATATATCACTGTGGTATGATTCTTTCACTTCTTTTGGAAAGATACCCAGCAGAGGGATGGCTGGGTCAAATGGGACCTCTAGTCCTAGTTCTTTGAGGTATCACCATTTTGACTTCCACAGTGGTTGCACCAGTCTACACTCCCACCAACAATGGAGAAGGGTTCCTTTCTCCCCACAACCCCGCCAACATTTGTTATGGTGTGATTTCTTGATAGCAGCCATTCTTTGTGGGGTGAGGTGGAATCTCAGTGTTGTTTTCATCTGCATACTTATAGATATTTTTAAAGATATCTTTTCTCCCTCAGGATCAAACTATTCCAGCCACCATTGCTACCTTATCTTTGCTCATTTCAGTCTCCTCGCCCTAAAGAATTCTATGTTACTCTTTACGAAGGTAATACAGTATTTTCTTCTCCGCATTACTGATGACACGTAACTGAGGGAAAGTGAAGTTCTCATTAGCAAAGATGGAGTGGTACTCTTCGTGCCAACGGTAGGCCAGTGGGCAGGTACCTGTCATTCATTCATTCGTCCACCCACTAGTTTATCCTCCAGTGATATTTTGCTCCTTTGCCGACCACTGGTCCCAGGGTATACAGAGATGAGTGCTCTTCCTCCGCTCCAGTGTCTCACGGTGCGTGGCCGTCAGCTGTAGCACCCTTCAGTGTTTTGACACCACGTCAGTTAGAAGTCCAGAGGTCTGCCTGTGTCTGAATTAGACCGGGGTCTGAGCTTCCCAGGGTGAGCTATGAAAGGAATTTTGAAGGATACATGGCTTTTAATAATAAGCTGTTATTATTTTATTTGAAGGAAACATCTTTTTATTATTATTGTGGCTTCTTGAGAGCTTCTTTTTTCTTTTTTCTAGCTCTCCTTTCCTTCTTCTGTTTCCTCCTCCTCCTTCTCCCACCCCCAGCACAACACTAAAGTATGATACTGGTGCCTCCATCAGTACATGTTAATTAGCAATGGTATTTAAAAATGTTAAAACTCCGTGCTATACTGCCACCTATTGGTTCATTCGTAAATTATGAGTTTCCTTTTGATAGGTGAAGTCTCTTGGTTTGCAACCAGTCTTCTTAAGGAAGCGGAATAGTGCTTTTCTTCAAACTTTCTCAATTGTATTTCAGAAAACATTCAAAACGTAAGGCAATACAAAACTCTGTAACTTTTCTAATAAGCCCACCCTAGTCCTTTGTACAAATTGGGAATTTAACCGGAAGTGTCTTATCCCTTCTTTCATTTAAAGTGACCCTGGGGACGATTAAATTATGGGATTGAATTTTAGCTAAAAAATCAAATAAATTCTTCTAAAGCTAGAAAGTTAAATGAATTCAGATGTTATATTATTTGTTTCCAGGTCCATTCTTTTATTGGCACATGGTCCATTTAAAAACAATTAAAAGACTATCTTTTTGACCAACTTTTGGCTTCCAGAAAAATTAAGCAGAAAGTAGAGAGAATTCCTCCACCCCCTCATTAAGCTCTTTTTTTAACCTTCAGACACAGTTAATTCCCTCACCCCATTTACCTGATTAATGAGGTCTAAATATGCCCTACTTTTGAAGAAGGTTCGAATAAGTGCCAGTTAAGTGATTCTGCACCCTTTTCTTTCTCCAGCCTCCCTTGTACCCCTAGCTGGTTGGTTCACCTTCAAAGGCTCTTGTCTTGACTGCTGGAATTTTCCTAGAGTCTAACAACGCTCTCTGTCCCCTGACTTCAAGCTTATCCCAAAGGGAAACACTACTACCTTGCTGACCAACAGCGCTGCTTATTCTTGCTTTCCTGGTATAGCTGGGCCTCAGTGCTGCCTGGCAGCCATTTTGTGCTTCCCAGTCAATGTTCTTCCTTTTCACCACAGGGTCATTTCCCGGTTCCCTTACATCCTACTGGCCTACCAGCCTCAGCCCCTCCCTTTTGCTGTGGGAATGCGATGCCCTTCTCCCTTGACTGACGGACAAAAATATGAGGAGCCATCGTTTTTCTTCATTTTCTCCTATTTTTTCCTTTTCCCTTGTTCCCTTTCCCCCACCCTTCCCACTTTCCCTACACCTTCAGCCCCTTTCTTCCTGTTTCACACGGTCAGTTATCTCATTAGGATCTCTCGAGCTCTGCCTCACCCCTCCCATGTCCCCTCCTTCAGAATGGCAGTTTGGTTTCTTCCTATACAAGATAATGTTTTTTCTTACTGAGCTTTGGGTCACATTCTTTTCGATCT